CCACCTAACCATCACTCTAAAAAAAATGTTAAATTTGTTTTTGTAGAAGCCAGCACTGAGATTTTAAAAGTGATAGATATGTCCCTGTGGGTGAGAGAAGAAAAACTGCCTTTTTTCTAGACTTCTTATAGAGTAATAGTTAAAACAATTCTGAAGACATTTCCAGTATGCTTCTTATGGAAAACTAATGTTATCCTAATATGGGGGAAGGTGGAAGAAACACCTGTGTCTGTACTGTTTATTGCATGGTTTAAGTGCATCAAGAGTTATGACTGCCACCTTATAGAGGGGTGGGGTTTTAGGATGCTCACTATTTCTCCCTTGGAGAGTAGCAGTGACTAGGGCTCTGCCTCAGCCCCATGCCTCAAGTTAAGGGGGAATTAATGAAGGACCACAAGGGAATTTTAGGGACAGACTTGAGAGAATATGTTCTTGTTAGTTGTGCCTTCCAAGGAAACTGGCGGCCAATATCCTAGTTATTTTAGGGTAAAAAAAAAAAATCTGTGTGATATGTAAATATATATCAGTTCTATTTATGTTTAGTTTTTCATGAATTTTGGTTTTATTCGATTGGTAATATTTTTTCAAGAATTTACAGCTTGTTTTCTCTGAACTAGGTGTCATCAAGGTCGATACCACCAGTGTCTTGCCTGGGCTAGCACATTAGTTTCCGGTCTGGTCTTCCTGTTCCACTCCTACCTTCTGATGAGCCATTCTCTGCACCATAGCCAGAGTAATCTTAAAAAATCCAAATAGATCTCATCGACCGTGTCTAATGGCTTTCCATTCACATCATGACTCCTTTTCTGTCTATCTCTCCTTTTCTGCCTCATCTTTTTACCATAGTCCCATGGTGACATTATGCTAAGCCACTAGTGACCCTGAAGCCACAGTGGCCTCCTTTCAGTTTTTTGGTTTGTTTTTTGGAGACAGAATCTTTCTCTGTTGCCCAGGCTGGAGTGCAGTGTCACAATCCAGACTCACTGCAACCTCTACCTCTCAGGTTCAAGTGATTCTGGTGCCTCAGCTTCCTGAGTAGCTGAGATTGCAGGTGTGCACCACCACACCCAGCTAATTTTTGTATTTTTAGTAGAGACGGGGTTTCATATTGGCCAGGCTGGTCTCAAACTCCTGACCTTAGGTGATCCACCTGCCTTGGCCTCCCTAAATGCTGGTATTACAGGCTCGAGCCACTGCGCTCAGCCCCTTCTTTCAGTTCTTTAAACATGCCTTACTTACACCTGAAGATGCTCAATTTGGCACCTTTTTGCTGTCTTTTCCTTCTATCTGGAGCTTGCTTTTTATTCACAGTTCTAGTGGCTGACTTTCATCGTTAGTTCTTAACTCAGGTGTTATAGTCTCAAAGGTCTTCTTCCCTGACCACCCAGTCTAACGTGGCCTCTCACTCACTGCCTTTCTGAATAATGTTATTCTGTTTTATTTTCTTCACAGCATTTATCTCTATTTGATTATGTATTTATTTATTTTCTGTCTATCATAATAGACTCACTTTTCCACCACATATAATTTCAAAATAAACTTTATGAAATGAAGGACCTTGTCTATTTTGTCACTGCTCTTTTTCAGATAATGTCTGAACAATCCCCAAAAGAGATCATAAATCCAGGTGAAGACTGAAAGGAGGGCAGAAAGCTACACAGAACAGGAATGGTGTTGGGAGAAAGTGAGAGTTGGGAATGGGGAGGCAGAGGCTTGGGGGTCAGCTGCTTTCCTGTCTTCCTGGAATCAGTCCTCATGAAGTTTTTTTTGTCTGTCTGTTGGTGGATATTTGCAAGTGGAAGGCATGCAGGACAGAATTTTTTTGTTTGTTTTTTGAGACAAAGTTTTGCTTGTCTCCCAGGCTGGAGTGCAGTGGTGCGATTTCAGCTCACTGCAACCTCTGCCTCCTGGGTTCAAGTGATTCTCCTGCCTCAGCCTCCCAAGTAGCTGGGATTATAGGCGCCCACCACCATGCCTGGCCAATTTTTGTATTTTTAGTAGAGATGGGGCTTCACCAAGTTGCTTAGGCTAATCTTGAACTCCTGACCTCTGGTGATCCACCCACCTCGGCCTCCCAAAGTGCTGGGATTACAGGCATGAGCCACCATGCCCGTCTGCAGGATAGAATTTAAGACAGATG